ACATCAGACTCCCTACTACTTGTTGCATAAGCATTCTCTGTCAATGTCACAAACAAGCCAACAAGCATGTTACTTAATGCATAAGATGATTTATGAAATCTAATTTGTAAATGAAACACACATCCAATCAATAATAATGTACAAGACTTACCTGGAGCAATATAACCAATTGTACCCGGCACAGCAATGGAAGTATTTGAAGCAGGAGAAGACTGTTCCAGAAGTTTGGCAATACCAAAGTCAGCAATGTGAGGCACCATGTCGGAGTCTAGAAGTATATTGCTGGGCTTGATGTCTCGGTGCACGATGGGAGGGTCACAGTCATAGTGGAGATAAGCTAATCCATGAGCAATTCCAACAGCTATCTCATACCGGACATTCCACTTTAAGGTTGGTGTTGGAGCCCTTTCATGCAAAACATCATGGAGACTTCCATTTACCATGTAGCTGTACAAAATTAGACCACAATCTTTTCTCAACCAAAAGTCTTCCAATTTGACAAGATTTCGATGCCTGATTTTCCCAAGGGTCTGAATTTCTCTGGCCATGCTCGAGTTCTTACCTTGACTGGCAGTAAATCTTATCTTTTTCACCGCAAAAGCTTTGTCTGGACCTATCAGAACTTTATAAACAATTCCGTGGGCTCCTCTACCAATAATATATCGATCATTTAGGTTTTCTGTAGCCTCCATGACTTTGTTAAGAAGGGATGAAGAACCCTGTTCAGAAGAGATATGGTTTTCCTGCTTAGCTGTTCTCCCAAAAACAACAACACAAACTAATGCCAGCAACGACAAACCAAGAAATATGGATAATCCAAGAAACATCTTCACAATTTGAACTTTACTCAAGCCTTTCCGTTTAGCAGATTTGTCATCGCATGATTTTAGAGAGCTTCTTTCCGAGCAAGCCAAGCAATCTGACGTTGAACATCTGATGCATAGGCCAGGATTGCCCAGGAACGATGACAAGGGACAATTAAGCAACTTCATCAGCGCCTTTGGTACAATACCACTAAAAGAATTGTATGAAATATTGAGTTCCACTAAGGAGATGAGTTCACCAAGAACTTCTATGCTTCCTGTCAAATTGTTATGAGACAGAGCTAGTGTTCGCAACATTTTCAGGTTCCTAATCTCTACAGGAATTTCACCAGTCAACCCATTTGAACTTAGATTCAAACCATAGATCAAGTTCTGCATTGCTCCAACTGATATGGGAATTTTGCCTCCGAACAGATTGCCACCAAGTTGTAGCTCAGAAATCATCTTGAATTCCGACAGGAAAGATGGGAGGCCCCCACTAAAGCGATTCTCGCTCAAAATTAACGTGGTTAACCTTGTCCAGCTCTGCAGACTTGATGGCAATGAACCATTTAGGAAATTGAATCCGACATCAAACTTGTCCATTTGGGTGCACTTTGATAGCTGAGAGGGCAAAGGACCTTCTAAGTTGTTGTGAGCCAGATTCAAAGTCCGAAGATTCACTAGGTTCCCTAGCTCTGATGGTATTGGCCCTGTAAATTTGTTCATGGGCAGAATTAAGTCAGTGATACGTGTGCAGTTTCCCAAACTTAATGGAATTGCTCCATGAATTTTGTTGTTGCCAATTTCCATATAAACGAGATTTTGACAGCTCTTAAAATGAGGAAGAGGCCCAGTAAAATTATTCTGTTTGAGGATTAATCTTGTAAGGGTTGTACAGCTCCCAACATAAGGAGGTACGCTACCTTGAAGTTGATTGATGCCCAAATTCAGGATCTTTAACTTCTTGCCAAAACACAGATTTGGTGGGATGTTGCCAGTGAATTTATTACTTGTGAAGTCCAACAGAACTAAACTGCTGTTAATTCCCAAGTTTTGAGGTATGACACCGGAAAACTGGTTGTTAAACAAAGTGATGTTTTTCAGCTGTCTGAGCTCTGCAATCTCCAATGGCAATTCTCCAGAAAGACTGTTATTATACAGATGCAGAGACTGAAGACCTTTAATCTTCCAGATGCTGAGTGGAATTTCACCTGTCAATTGATTTGAAAACAATTGCAAATCCACCAGTTTTCTTAGTTTTCCCAACTCACTTGGAATGTTTCCCTCAAGTCGATTGGAATACAGCTGTAACTCTGTTAGAGAGTTGCAGTTGCCAATTTCTGGAGGTATTTTTCCAGATAAACGGTTTAGTGGAAGATATAGAATAGAAAGCTTGGTCAGTAGGCCAAAGGAGGGTGGGATATTCCCTATCAAATTGCAGTTCACGGCAACAAGTTCCGATAAACTACTACAGTTCCCCATGCTTGAGGGAAGGCCACCACTAAAGTCATTGTCTGAGAGATCCAAAACTACTAAATTTTTGCAACTAGTTGAACCCAAAGAAACAGTACCCGTAAGTCTATTACCGGAGACATCAAAATGATCCAGAAGACCGAGATTATTTAGACTCTGAGGCAGGACACCCTCCAACTGATTCCTATCCAGATACAATTCTAGCAATTTACTGCAATTCCCAATGGATGAAGGAATTGTCTCGGACAACTGGTTACTATGGAGATACAACAGCAGGAGCTCAGACATGTTCCCAATGCTGGTGGGGATGGAACCCCTTAAAAGGTTATATGATAGATCAACAAGCTGCAGTCCAGGTATTTGAGACAAGGAATGTGGAATTTCACCAGATAGCTGATTTTGAGCAAGGCTGAGAAACTGGAGGCTGTGCAAGTTTTTTAAGGAGTGAGGTATTGGGCCATTGAGGTTGTTACCTGTAAGGTCTAAGTACTGTAGGCGAGAAATATTTCCAATTTCAGGACCTAATTGACCAGAAATCCCATAACCTGTGAGGTTAAGGTAGATGACATGGTGGGCATGGTCACATTGAAGTCCTACCCAGGAGGAGCATGGAGTGGAATCAGAGGCAAGCCAGGTGGTGTTTATGGAAGTAGGCACGGATTTCCAGTGCCTCATGAGTGACAACAGGGTGACCCCATCGGAGTTGAGTGCAGATACAGCACAAAAGAAGCAAGACAAGAAAATAAGCCACATGGTGAAGATGGTGGAATGCATTGCTTGAAGTGAAGAAGCATAAAGGTCTCACCTTTGGAAAGCACCGCTGCAATGGGAAATCAACTCTTCTGGACTCTGACTCATGGTTGAAACATCATTCATTGTTGTCGTAAACACATAAATGGTCTCTCTGTTGTCTTCGAGCTTTCACATTCAGAAGATGGGATTTTGAATTTTTTATGGTCTTTCGGTGTCAATTCAACTAACTTTTTACTTTAAAAATTGTGCTTATGGAATGTATTTAATCTTTCTTTATGTAACTAAATATAAAAATAATACTGGATATATATATATATATATATATATATATATATATATATATATATATATATATATATATATATATATATATATATTCACTCGGAAAGATTTGAATAGGACGAACAGAAGAGATGAGGTTTTCATATTACAATTTTATTTTTGGAGTAAAATTTTAGACTTAATTGTTTGGTTTGTCCAGTTTGGTTGAAGTGTGTCAAATTTGTTCACTTTTTAAAAAAGTTACTATTTAGTTCACATGTGGTTAAAAGTATCAATTATATTCAATAATAGAAAAATCTCTATCAATAAAGTCTTCTCCGTTAAATATAGACTAACCGGATTAAATAACTGATGATTTGACAGTTGAGAAATAAAACGTGTCAAAAAAGTGACAATATTGTTAATTACGTGTGAATGAAATGTAGAGTGACATGGAAATATGTTATTGAATTGGAGAAATTAAAATGATAATTGATTTAGGGGGTTTTATTTGTGGAACACTCTTCACTGCTCGGTTTAGGACCAAGAGCTCTTGGAGAGTGTTCCTTGGGTTTTGTGGACAAGAGTGAGAGTTCACGAACACTCTTCACCACTCGATTTAGGACTAGGAGCTCTCGGAGAGCGTCCCCTGGATTTTGTGGACAAGAGTGAGAGTTCACGAACACTCTTCACCGCTCGCTTTAGGACTAGGAGCTCTCGAAGAGTGTTCCCTGGATTTTGTGGACGAGAGTGAGAGTTCACGAACATTCTTCACCGCTCGGTTTAGGATCAGGAGCTCTCAGAGAGTGTTTCCTAAGTTTTGTAGACGGGAGTGAGAGTTCACGAACACTCTTCATCGCTCGGTTTAGGACCAGAAGCTCTCGAAGAGCGTTCCATGGGTTTTGTGCCATCGCCTCGCAACCTGTGATTGGATGGAAATTGTCTGGCTTTATTCATACCAAAAGTGTAGACACGTAAGTCTTATCAAGGTTGAACATAGGACTGAACCTTTCTGTCAAGGTTGAACGTACGTAGGACTAAACCTTCTTGAAAGTTCTCAAAACAAAAGACATGCCTTTAGAAATTATTACGGAATATTTGACTCTTGTTGCAAAACCTAGTATTGACTCGAAGTAGCGATGTCGAGACCGAGCGCACGTCTGGTTCCTCATGGAATCATGTGGATGTCGCTCGGCCCCACGGTGGACGCCAAAATGTTTCGGTTGAATTGGTCTGAGGGTCGGTTGTCATTCCTTTCTCTGCTCTCTTTCGATTGTCCAATCCTCTCCAAGAACGCAATCTACTCCCATGGGTTGTTGACCTGCAGAAGACACTCCGACGCTCAAGTCAGATATGTTTCATAAAGAGATTTATATTTTATTACGATATAAAAAGATGTCTTTACCTGGGTCTTAACCTTATATTTATAGGATTTATGTCAATCAAGCTCATTAATTCATATTTGATATGGTAATAAATCCAATAATAGTTGCTAATATACCTGCTAATTATCCATTAATACCTGCTAATTATCCATTAATACCATATTCTTGTGACCTGTCAATCACTAATAAATAACGTATTTTCGCATTTAATATGGTCATTAAACGTATTAGTTGGCCATTATTTTGTTTTGACAGTCGATCGGTTGCCAGGTATAGTACAATGTATTTTAATTTGAGTTTAATGAAAAAAAATTATAGTTTTAACATAAAAGGTTTTAATTTCATTAAGTTTATTTGAATTTTGTTAAATAGTTGAAGTAATTGTTAACTTTTTTCACTTTTAGTAATTATCAGAGTGTATTTATTAGAGAGAAAAATGATATTATTATTAATTTTTTAATAAACACATATAATAATTACTATTAAATATGTTTTCAGTTATTTTAATAATTAGTAAATTTTAAATATGATTAATAGAATTAGTCTTTTACTTTTAAACTATATTTTTTTGTTATTAGAAACTAATATGAATATTTATCATACTGAAGGGAGGATTTAAACATATCTTTCCATTAGCAGGTACATTGATAGAGATGAATCGTTTTATTCAGATGCAACATTGTTTATCGAAAGATAAATTTAATATATAATAACTAAAAAAAAAGTACATATAATATTAAAAAGGCATAAAAAAGTAGGTAGATGAGGTGACAAGCATTAATGATGAAGCAGTTTTATACCCTTAAAATGTCAGAAAAATTGTTTTTTTTCTCTTTTTCTATTTTGGAATATAGCATTGAAGAATTAATGGTGTAATTAAGAGACAAAATTAAATTTAATCAACCTATCTGAAATCATTATGAGGCCGTCAAGTTAGATTTACGGGTGACATCGGGATCAGTGCGGGTTTTATTACTCTGTCTGTTCGTAATAAAAAATTATCATTATCTGCAATAATATATAATTTTTTACTCATGTCATTTCTATTACATAATTGTCTTCATTTTTATTAAATACGAGATAGATATATCGATATACTCGTATTTATACTTATTATTTTATTTTAAAAAAAAATTATGACAAAAATAAAAATCACGCCCAAAACATCATAACATTATCAAAATATTTAATATTAAAGCAATATAATTTTTTTTCTTTATGATGTCAAATATTAAAACAAATATTATATTTGTATAACTCTATTTTCTTTTAAAATTTTAGAACGAAATAAATAAATAATAAAATTAAAATAATAATATTTCGAGTTTAAATATAAATATTTTATGTTTTAAATNTATATATATATAACTATATTCACTGAGAAAGATTTGGATAGGACGAACAGAAGAGATGAGGTTTTCATATTACAATTTTATTTTTGGAGTAAAATTTTAGGCTTAATTGCTTGATTTGTCGCAGTTTGGTTGAAGTGTGTTAAACTCGTTCATTTTTTTAAAAAAGTTACTATTTCGTCCACATGTGGTTTAAAAGTGTCAATTATATTCAATAATAGAAAAATATGTGTCAATAAAGTCATCTCCGTTAAATACAGACTAACCGTGTTAAGTGACTGATGATTTGATAATTGAGAAATAAAACGTGTCAAAATAGTGACAATATTGGTAATTACGTGTGAATGAAATGTAGGGTGACATGGAAATAGGTTATTGAATTGGGGAAATTAAAATGATAATTGATTTAGGGGTTTTTATTTGTGAACGAAATAAAATTGGGGCTTTCGAAATCAAATTAAGGGCTTTCGAAGTCAAATTGATTTAGAGTGTTTGTGAGTTGACGAAGAGTGAAAAATCGCAATTGGGGCTTTCGAAAGCAGATGCATGTTTGGTGATTGGGAAGTGCTTTTCGCACGTGGGGTATTTGGAAGTGCGACTCGCATTGTTCGTGGTCCATTCGAAGGTGCGTGTAGCATTGCTTTCGTTGCGTTTATGGTTGCTTTGCTTTCGTTGCGTTTATGGTTGCTTTGGTGTGTGTGTTTATTTCGTGTGTGTGTTTGGTTTTGTTGTAGTAGTATCCCTTTCATCTAAATTATCTTCATTGCGCCATTTAAATAATTGCATCCTTGAAGTTCTTCGTTTCGAGTCCGCTAATCAAAACATCCAACCACAACCATTTCATTACTCAAAAAATAAAGTAATCACAAAAATGAAACTACAGCCATTGAACAAACATTGTAACTAGGGCATCCCCAAAATTGTCATCGTTCTTCACTGTTTTAGTCACTCTCAACACAGTAACCTCCCCACAATGACATATGTTGGTTCCAACCAATCCTCTCGATGAAACAGCACGAGAGCTCCCCCATGAGCAAGACGAACAACACTGATGATTCAATGACATTGCCACTTCCTAAGCCAATGCCAAAAGGACACAACCTCACTACAATACTTTCTCAAAGAGGGAAGAAGAACACAAAAAACAAGTACATCAACAACAGTAAACTCACCAAGCTCAGCAAACCCTAATCAAGAAGAAGACATCCACCACGATAAATGGAGACCCACCACGCATCTCTCACTTATAACCTCGTTGGGAATCTTCCCACTTACGGGAATCCATGTTTTGATCTCCTTTTCCAGCTAAACCAAACTCTTTTGATACGTTTTATTTCTCAACTGCCAAATCATCTGTCACTTAACACTGTTAGTCTGTATTTAACGGAGAGGACTTTATTGACACAAAATTTTCTATTATTAGATACAATCAACACTTTTAAACTACATGTGGACGAAATAGTAACTTTTTTAAAAGAGGGAACGAGTCTGACACACTTCAACCAAACTGGGGACAAACCAAGCAATTAAACCAAAATTTTACTTTTGTCTTTATACTTGATGCATATAAAACTTTTATTTCATTTTCATTTTTATTACAAATATATATTTATAATATTATTAGATATTTAATATTTTATATCAAAATGGAATTTGAATAATGAAAAAGTTATATAAAATATCATACTATACACAAATAAAATCTTATAATAACCAAAACATCAATTAATTTTATAATAATAAAAAAATTTGATAATGTTAAAAAATTAATTTTAAAAATTATAAAAAGAGAAAATATTTAAATTTAAATGTATAAGAAAACATCCTTTACCTAATTAATATGAACATTTCCTAAAACAAGTTTATTTGTTGTGTATAATAATTGTTTTTATAATCTTAGGAACATTGTTCTAGAAAAAAAAATTACTTTATTATCATAAATATTGATGTATATTTCGGTTGAATTGGTCCGAGAGTCGGTTGTCCTTCCTTGCTCAGAAGACACTCCGACGCTCAAGTCATATATGTTTCATAAAGAGGTCTAAATTTTATTAGGATAGAAAATGATGTTTTTACCTGGGCCTTAACCCTATATTTATAGGGCTTATGTCAATCAAGCTCACTAATTCATATTTGATATGACAATAAATCTAATAATATTTGCTAATATACATGTTAATTGTCCATTAATACCATATTCTTGTGCAATATGACATGTTAATCAATTATAATAAACATATATTCACATTTAATATGGTCATTAAACGTATTAATTGGCCATTAATGATATTTACCTTTCCTGATTAGTTTGTCTGACAATCGGTTAGTTGCCAGGTATAGTACATTAAGCCCCCCAAGCCCCGAGTAGTTGTTTGTAGGTGCGAAGGGGTTTAAATACTCCAAACGAATTTAAAGTGGCGGGAAAGAGTGATTACCCTTTTGAATCACCGGGCGGTGTGTTGTGGTTTGAGAATGATCGAATACTTGTGACCGCTCGGTTTAGGACCAGGAGCTCTCGGAGAGCGTTCGTTGGGTTTTGTGGACAAGAGTGAGAGTTCACGAACACTCTTCACCGCTCGGTTTAGGACCAGGAGCTCTCGGAGAGCGTCCCCTGGGTTTTGTGGACGAGAATGAGAGTTCACGAACACTCTTCACCGCTCAGTTTAGGACCAGGAGCTCTCGAAAAGTGTTCCCTGGGTTTTGTGGATGAGAGTGAGAGTTCACGAACATTCTTCACCGCTCGGTTTAGGATCAGGAGCTCTCGGAGAGTGTTCCCTGGGTTTTGTGGACAGGAGTGAGAGTTCACGAACATTCTTTACCGCTCGGTTTAGGACTAGGAGCTCTCGGAGAGCGTTCCATGGGTTTTGTGTCATCGCCCCACAACCTGTGATTGGATGGAAATTGTCTGGCTTTATTCATACCAAAAGTGTAGACACGTAAGTCTTATCAAGGTTGAACGTAGGACTGAACCCCTTTCTGTCAAGGTTGAACGTACGTAGGACTGAACCTTCCTGTCAAGGTTGAACGTACGTAGGACTGAACCTTCCTGTCAAGGTTGAACGTACGTAGGACTGAACCTTCTTGAAAGTTTTCAAAACAAAAGAAATGCCTTTAGAAATTATTATGGAATATTTTACTCTTGTTGCAAAACCTGGTATTGACTCGAAGTAGCGATGTCGAGACCGAGCTCACGTCTGGTTCCTCGTGGAATCATGGGGATGTCGCTCGGTCCCACGGTGGGCGCCAAAATGTTTCGGTTGAATTGGGTTGTTGACCTGCAGAAGACACTCCAACGCTCAAGTCATATATGTTTCATAAAGAGATCTATATTTTATTAGATATAAAAAGATGTCTTTACCTGGGCCTTAACCCTATATTTATAGGGCTTATGTCAATCAAACTCATTAAATCCAATAATACTTGCTAATATACCTGCTAATTGTCCATTAATACCTGCTAATTATCCATTAATACCATATTCTTGTGCAATAGTCAATTACTAATAAATAGCGTATATTCGCATTTAATATGACCATTAAACGTATTAGTTGGCCATTATTTTGTCTTGACATCGGTTACCCGGTATAGTACAATGTATTTTAATTTGAGTATAATGAAAAAAAAATTATAGTTTTAACATAAAATGTTTTAATTTCATTAAGTTTATTTGAATTTTGTTAAATATTTGAAGTAGTTGTTAATTTTTTTCACTTTTAGTAATTATTAGAGTGTATTTATTAGAGAGAAAAATGATATTATTATTAATTTTTTAATAAACACATATGATAATTACTATTAAATAATTAAATATGTTTTCAGTTATTTTAATAATTAGTAAATTTTAAATATGATTAATAGAATTAGTCTTTTATTTTTAAACTATATTTTTTTGTTATTAGAAACTAATATGAATATTTATCATACAGAAGGGAGGATTTAAACATATCTTTCCATTAGCAGGTACATTGATAGAGATGAATCGTTTTGTTCAGATGCAACATTGTTTATCGAAAGATAAATTTAATATATAATAACTATAAAAAAAAGTACATATAATATTAAGGTTTAATTGCTTCCTTTGTCCCCAGTTTGGTTGAATTGTGTCAAATTCATCCTCATTTTTAAAAAAGTTTCATTATCGTCCTCACGTGGTGTAAAAGTGTCAATTGAATCCAAACATAGAAAAAATTTGTGTCAATGTAGTCATCTCCGTTAAATACACACTAACGGTGTTAAATGGCTGATTATTTGGCACAGAGAATTAAAACGTGGCAAATGACGTGTCAATGAAATAAAACACATTCTCTTGCGATCGACAAATTAGATAGTTCAAACTCAAAATTAAGGTCAGGAAGCAGCTTGGTTGAGTTTTCATATGATTTGACTCCTCTCAAATGAAACATTCACTATAGACGTGATGAATAAGGAATTAAATCTACTGATGAGAAGGTGGTAGAGAACGAGAAAAACATTCCAAATAAGAATCTTTCACTTCAAAAACCCAAATCCTTTCATATGGTGGCTACACTTAAAAATGCAGAAACTATGCCGGAATTGTTTCTCTCACCACACCGCACAAGCGTAAAATTATACTGGCAGTGTAGCTAATTACAGCCCAAAAATTTGAACAGTAATCAGAACCTAAATCAACTCCCTGATACCAATTATAACACCCAACAAAAGAAAATCTAGGATTTCGGAGTCTAATATAATTCACGAAATATTAACAAAGTAAAAATTTCTCTGAGAACGTTGAAAGAAACAAGAGCTTATAAATGCCTTCCCCCAACTAATTGATGCCTGTAAAGGTAAACCTACTTGAGAGTCGTTCGCGAGGGTTCTGAATGGCTTCGCGAAGGAACTGATTGACCTGATTGACGACGTCATCGGAAACCTTGTCGCCACTGGACGAAGGGAGCGGAGGAGCCGGTGGCGGCGGCGGAACGTCATCATCGGAGAGACGTTGGTGAGGATGGTTGGAATCCTTGCTGGAAGAGAGCATGAGGTTCAAGCGGTTCATGGACTCGTCCAAATCGGCGACCTCCCATGACTCGGGGGCTCCGAGATCCTCTGCAGAGCCCTCCATGGAGAAACTGCGAAGAGATGAAAGGGGTTTGTTAAGGGGTTAGGGAATCGAACCTAATTCTGATTTCATTGACACGTCAGTCACTCATTTGCCACGTTTTAATTCTCTGTGCCAAATAATCAGCCACTTAACACCGTTAGTATGTATTTAACGGAGATGACTACATTGACACAAATTTTTTCTATGTTTGGATTCAATTGACACTTTTACACCACGTGAGGACGATAATGAAACTTTTTTAAAAATGAGGATGAATTTGACACAATTTAACCAAACTGAGAATAAATGAAGCAATTAAACCTAATATTAAAAAGGCATGAAAAAGTAGGTAGATGAGGTGACAAGCATTAATGATGAAGCAGTTTTATACCCTTAAAATGTCAGAAAAATTGTTTTTTTTCTCTTTTTCTATTTTGGAATATAGCATTGAAGAATTAATGGTGTAATTAAGAGACAAAATTAAATTTAATCAACCTATCTGAAATCATTATGAGGCCGTCAAGTTAGATTTACGGGTGACATCGGGATCAGTGCGGGTTTTATTACTCTGTCTGTTCGTAATAAAAAATTATCATTATCTGCAATAATATATAATTTTTTACTCATGTCATTTCTATTACATAATTGTCTTCATTTTTATTAAATACGAGATAGATATATCGATATACTCGTATTTATACTTATTATTTTATTTTTTAAAAAAATTATGACAAAAATAAAAATCACGCCCAAAACATCATAACATTATCAAAATATTTAATATTAAAGCAATATAATTTTTTTTCTTTATGATGTCAAATATTAAAACAAATATTATATTTGTATAACTCTATTTTCTTTTAAAATTTTAGAACGAAATAAATAAATAATAAAATTAAAATAATAATATTTCGAGTTTAAATATAAATATTTTATGTTTTAAATTTCAATGTTTGATGTTGATAAAAAGTGTTTATGATAATGATTTATTATATTATAGTAAATGAAATATGTAATAAAATATTCTTATAAAAACGAATTATAGTACATAGAATTATATAAAAAGCTATCCAAATTTATATCATCAAAATAATCAAAATATTAAAAAAAATGAAAATTATCAACATTTAAAAATAATTTGATATATTATTGAATAAAGTGGTATGAAAAGTAATATAATTAAGGATAATGATATTTTGACAACATTTTTTTGACAACATTTTAACACTGTCTACGTGTCATTATGTGATTGGTTTATATTGGTGTTTATGATTATTATTATTGATTGTGCAATAATTTTGGACCAATCATAGAATGACACGTAGACAGTGTTAAAATGTTGTCAAAAAAATGTTGTTAAAATATAATTATCCTTTAATTAAAGGTATAATAAAATAAGTAAATGAAAAATAATATTAAAATAAAAATACGTTAAAAGATAATAAAAATCATCTAAAAAAATTTCATCAAATAAAAAATTAAAGATCAAAGACAATAAAAAATAATTATAATATTTTTATATTTCTTAATCAAAGACAAATGTATTTAATTTTTTTTTTGAATGATACTTTTTTTACTAAAATTATAAATTAGTTTAAAAATAATTATTATTTTTAGGATTTAATATGTTTATTTAATTTGTTCAAAATTAAAATTGAAATTAAAAAAAAATAAATTTAATATGAATCTATAATTCGAATAATCAATTCAAAATTAATTTGCAATCCAACCATACACTACACATCCGACTAATCAATTAAAAAATTAAGCGGTGTCAGAGATAAGAGTTTTCGTTCAAAATTTAAAATTTCAATCATTGAAATAGACATAATTATCTATATTTAATTAATTTTTGTGTTTGGAAGATGTTAGAGATAAGAGTAACAAGGATCAAAAGAGCGTAAGAATTGAACCAACCAAAGCTTAGGAGCCTCTTTCTTATGCTAGCATGGATCTTAATGATCTTAACAAAGTCTGGGAAATCAAGCCGCTAAAAGGAATCGGAGAAGATGAAGCAAGGAAGATTCTTGAAAAGGTAGCTAAGCAGGTTCAACCGATAATGCGAAAAAGGAAATGGAAAGTCAATGTTCTTTCTGAATTCTGGTACTTGATTAATGAATTCACATCGTTTTACTTTTCTAAATGCTATGTTCTTGTGTTAGTATCAGTCGTCTAATACTTTGGTGTGCAGCCCTGCCAATCCGTCACTTTTAGGGTTAAATATAGGACCGGGTGCAGAAATAAAGATTAGATTGCGGAGGCCAAACTGCGATTGGGATTTCTTCCCATATGAGCAGATTCTCGACACCATGTTGCACGAGCTTTGCCATAATGAACATGGTCCCCATAATGCTCAGTTTTATAACCTTTTGGATGAAATCAGAAGGGTAATGATGTGTTGCTCTCTATCAATTTATATTTGTAGTCCATTAGTTCTAAAATTTAGCATAAATTTATGGTTCACACAAAGTTATCCTGGTAGATATGCACCCATCTCTTTAAGTAGTTTACCTAATTGAATATTTCATGTATTGATGAAATTTAAAAGGAAGACTCATAAGATTACATTGCCTATATAAAAAGTGGAATCCTTATTTTCACATGATGTGCTGATAATAGTTTATGAATATATTATTTCTGCCGACTTGCTATCTTTGTATATATACGCACATCCTTATTGGCATTGATCATAGATAATTAGTATCTTTAGTTAAAACCCTATTTTCTGCTGTAGGAATGTGAAGAACTGATGGTCAAAGGGATTAATAACACTGGGAAAGGATTTGAGCTTTATGGAAGACGTCTAGGTGGATCCTCCCAGCAAGCACCTTTGTCATCACTTCGCCAGACTGCATTGGCAGCTGCTGAAAGCAGAGCACGTCATAGCGCTTTGCTTCCTTCAGGACCTCAGTATTTAGGTGGTGATACAAATATTAAGTCTTCTCTGAGTCCAATACAAGCTGCTGCCATGGCTGCTGAAAGGAGACTGCACGATGACAAGTGGTGTGGGTCAAAGTCTCAAAGGAGTGAGCCTCAAAGAAGGGAGAATACAAGTTCTAGGGAAGCCTCTGCAAGATCTATTCAAACTTCAGCTATCCAATCCGCAACAGCCAAGGAAACATTTGAGGGAGCAAAATGGCAGTGCAACACTTGCACTTTGATAAATAAGGTACAATTTAATAATGAATTGATAGATTGTATAAAGTAGTTCTCGTTTTGATTTCATTTAATATTAAATTATGTATGTACGATGTTCTATTTCATTACAGTATTCAACCACGAAAACAATAATCTCATTAACTTGAAAATTTCCAATATGTGCCCTCCCATCCAACATCAGCATGCCTAGCAGAATGAAAAGGATCATTCAATAGTGCCTAGACACTAATTTCATAAGCTCTTCAATTTTTCAAGTTGTCTTGCTGGAGGCCAAACTTGATTCATGGAATTAAAGTTCATTCTACCATATTGATGAAGTAGGTTGTTAGATGTGTACACGATGTTTTGGCATAAAGAAAACAATATATGTTGTACACAAAGGTCAGTGTCAATTTGTTTACTGATTAACCTATGTATATAGCCTGCTATTTTGATTGTAGGGATGATTAGGTAAGGCTCTACCATTTTCACTTGTGCCTTTAATTTTAAACCGTTATTTCAATCTGCATTGATCAACATGTGGCATCACTTGATTTCTATAGTCATTTTATAACTATAAGAATCTGGTTAATAATGTTTAAACCTGTACACTTGGAGAAATTGTACCTAGGCAACTATGTACCCAACTTTGAAAAGCATATTAAGTTGAGATTATCTGAAAAATGCGTGAGCGTTACAGAGGAGTTTGTATGCTTTGTAGCACCCCCAAACTTCCCAAAAACACATTGATCTAGTGTTTGTTGGTTATATTATGTTAACTCACTGCGCATGGACTAAAATGTGTCTGTTGAGGTCTTTTGTGTTATTAATAATAATGCTATTATTTGACAATTTTAAATGTGATTGGAAAAATGCTCTTGCATGCATTGGCTAGAATTATTTGTGGTGGTGATCTGGTGTATTGCAGCCATTAGCATTGGTATGTGAAGCCTGTGGAACAGAAATGCAAAAAGGTGTTTCCAAGTTCAAAGTTTGGTCTTGCAAATTTTGTACTCTAGAAAACGGGGTTGAGCAGGATAGATGCTTATGTTGTGGAGAATGGAGATATTCATATGGTCCATCAGTGGCCATTCGTGGGCCTTACATTGGTACCTAACCGAACCTAAGTTTTCAATTGGCACCTAGCTGGACCATAGTCAATGAATTCGTGTAAGTATTTTGGTGATGTAATCACAACATTTTAGCATAATAATGCATCTACTAGTTGAAGTTTTCGTGAGAAATTAGAGGAAAAAAACATAAATTCCATTCTGTCTGAAAGAGTTAAATTAAAAGAAATTAGTAAAATCAAAAGTAGCGGCTATACTCTTTGTCACAGTCCTATTTATATATGGTGAATTAAACTTCATTTATAATATACAAAAGAATATTATAATTTAGTTTATATTTTTATTCTCTAAAATAAGATGATTATACTTGTAACGTCATTTAGTTTTTAATATATTTTAGGTTGTGTTTTCTTTATCGCCCAACATCATCATCGATGAGAAAAATTTTCTTTATTGTTTTAACGGTAGAATTTACGTATTCTGCATAAAAGTAGTGTAGTTGTTAGCTTCATTGTGTTTAGAGGATTCCAACCCAAAATATTATGGCCTGTTAAATTTTATCCAATGAAAAGAAGGTAGTTTGTTCCTCACTTCCAAAACCTCTCCATATAAATAATATTTCTATTTTGCTCTTTTTAATTATGTAATCCGACTCTTTTATATAAAATAAAAGATCACTTTTTCTTTAAAAAAAATGGATTATAATCTGAAAGTTATATTTTATTTTAAGATTTTATAATTCAGAAAAAGATAAAAGGAAATGCTTTTTTATGAGGCACAGAAAGAAACTTATAGATTTGGAAGAAGAAAGTGCCTGTAAAGAACAAGGAATTATTTATTTATTTTATTTTTGTTATCATAATCCACTGGTTGTTATAATACATATATAATAATTATTTTATCTGGAAAATTCAAAATATTGTAATCACTCGCACGCAACACGATTCAAATTATCATGATTATTGTCAACAGGAGAGAATCTTCAAGTAGGTGCCGCGTATCCATGGCCAAATGATTGTCTTCAATCTCGATAATTTCGAGTATATAATTTAGTTCTATTTTAGTAAAAAACTGGAGAGAAATTTAAGTTATAAATATTCAATTAAATTTATAGATTTAGAAATATTTATAGTCCACCTTATAATTAGGAGTAGTGAATCTGATGAAATTAGATGGAACAAAATTAGAATTTATTTCGTTAGGGGGTTTCAAACTGAATTTCGAATTAGACTTATAGTCTTTAAGTGTAGAGACTTGCTATTTCTCAACGGGTAAAAAAAAAACCCTTCAGGTTCAATTCTTCAAGGTTAAAAGCCTAATAATATCTGTTTTAAAATTATTTATGTGTTATCGTTTTATTAGTTTATAATTATTTCATAATCAATAATAATAATTTTATCAATAAAATATCATTCTCATGAATTTTTAAACTTATGGATAGGAGAGTCCATTTTGAAATTCAAATATATTAGTCGCGACGGTTATTTCTTACACTACCTCGTTTTGCTTTTGGTATCACCACATTCTTTTTTAAATTTCAAAATTATTCATCATATTTTAAAATATTCTTTAACGGATGTGTGAGTTTTATTTTTTTAATTTTTAATTTTTTAATTTATTATATTTTAAATTAATATATAAATATTATTTAATTTTTTTAAAATTATTATTTAATTATTTATAAATTAATTTTATTTTATGTAATAAAATAATTATTATTAATTTTATTTATTTATTATTATTTAAATAATAATTAAAATATTTTTTATAAATATATTAAAACGGATGTAGTCACATGCTACGTTGACTTTTTTTTAGTTTTTTTATTTTAAATTAATATATATTATTTAATTATTTATAAATTAATTTTATTTTATTTAATAAAATAATTATTATTAATTTTAATTTATGTATTATTATTTAAATAATAATTAAAAAATTTGTTATAAATCTATTAAACAAATGTGTCACGTAGATGTGGTGATTTGTTGAATTAGTTTTTTTTAAGTTTTTAATTTTTTATATTTTAAATTAATATATAAATGTTATTTAATTTTTTAAAAGTTATTACTTAATTATTTATAAATTTATTTTATTTAATAAAATAATTATTATTAATTTAATTTATATATTATTATTTAAATAATAAATAAAATATTTTTTAAAAATTTATTAATTGAAGTTTTTTTTTAAATAAAAATAATAAATTAAAATATAAAATATATAAATGAATGTGGACGTGACGTTTTATAATAAAAGGATAAATTTAGTATAAAATAGTTCAGAAAATAGCATATAAATGTTTTACGTTGGTATTGTTGCTGTGTAAAATCTTAATCGCGTGTGAAGAGCCCCAGTACTACTAATTCTAACAAAAAAATGGCGAATTCCAACTCTTCAAAGAAGGATCCCTTCGATTTTCTTTTTGATCTTGCCCATATTTCTGAGTCGCAGGAACAAATCTTACGCGATGTTTCTGTTGTTGGAGCACACAGTCATCGTTCCCCCTCGCCCTCATCTGCTGCCGTGGACTCTCCCATTCCCATGGAAGTTTTCCACACACCATCGCAGAACAGCCCGCTACCCTCCTTCTGCGCTAGCGACCCGACGCCCACCACCGAATGCCACGACCCTTGCACACTTAATCACACCGTGAATGTCGATGCTGTCACGCGAGATCTTTCCAAAGGTGTTGTGGAAGATTCTGAAATGGAGAAGACAGAGGAAGAAGTGCTTGAAATTTATAGAGCTTTCTTACGCTCTAAAAATGAAAAAGAGAAAGATCTCAGTAATTTTAGTCTCTTGGAAGTCGCCGAAGCTTGTGGAATGAAATTTCCTCGGCCAAGGTGGTTGCCGGAAGGGAAAGACTTTTACCATGAAAGGTAGAACCATTTATCTGTAACGTAGTTATTAGTCAAGGTATATTAATTTGGAATTAGTTGTTATTTTGGCATGTTGGAAAAATATATATAATTACTGGCCTGTGGTCATGGCTTTTTTTTTTTGTGGGATGTATGTCCGATTTGTTAGTAATATTGAAATCTTCGTTCTTAACTTGTAGGGAATATATTTCCGATTTGTTAATAATATTGAAGGCGTTCTTAACTTCTAGGTTTGGCAATTTTAATTATATTAATTTTAATTAATCAAAAATTAATCTGAAATTAAAGTCGTTATAATGTAAAATAATTTATGTTTAATGTAAAGTTGGTTACTCAACTAACTAAAGTTGTAAAATCTTGCGGTGATTTACATTAAAAATAATGCGCTGAATTGAAATCATACCTAAGGTGTCGTGATATTAGTTAGTGACTTCAACTTCAAATATCATTATCATTATGAATATGCTTAATTATTGATTTTTATGATTGGTGATGTATCATAATAAGATCAAATATAAAACATAGTCGAGTATAAATAGATCAATAATTTTTATTGAATGGAATTCTACCTCATAAACCTTAAAAATAAATAATATAATGTGGTAATATTGTCTTCCATTGACAAGGTTCAAATGGCTTAAAACATATATCGTTTGATTTAATTTCTGTTTACCCAGTTAACAGAGGTTACCAGTTTTCCATAAACGTATCAAATCAGAAAGTTTAAATTCTTGAGATAATTATTTTATTTACTATCTGATTATATCTTAAACGATTTTAAGATGGTCTAAGGAGAAAAATATAACTCGTATGAAAAGTCAAAAATACTTGTATACATTTTGTAAACACCATTTTCTAAACAACTATATTATTTAGATTAGACATTTTTTTCTACGCTGCTTGTAATTCATATCTCTTTACGCAACCGACTACTTTGAAAACCTAAATCCTGTTTAAAATTCCACCACGCTGTAAGAAAATTTAAATGAACCAGTAAAATATTAAATTAATATTAATAAAATGTGAAAACAAAATAAAAAATTACCATCAGTTAAAATATGATTTACTGCTTATACACAGTAAATTTCATCCCTCCGTGACCTACCGTCAAAGTACAAAAGTTAACTTTTCAGATCAATTAAGTTGATAGAAACTTCACACAGTACTTGAAATATAGTTTATTTATTTATTACATTTTGTTGGTTTTTTACGAAAAGCAGATAAATATGGTATTTGAGAAAGTTTTGATATTTATTTAAGGATGAAAGACACGTGGAGGCGGGAGGAAAAACGAAAGACATTGAGATTGGGCATGGAAATATATAAATAATAAATAATTTTAATTTTAACGAGGAGAGAGAAAGAAAGATAGAGAGAGAGAGATATAGAGGAGATTTCGCAGAAGGTTCGGAGGTGTGACTGGTGACTTGCCAGACAGAGCGTAGTTGCCGGCCATCGAACGCGAACAGGAAATGATTTGATTTGAATGGTGTGCTATCACATCGTCGTTCTCAGTTCTGAGTTTGGTCTTCTGCTTCTTCTTCCTTACTCATCATCACATCTACATCTCTAGATTTGACCCTAAGCTCTGCAGCTCAGTTCTGTCATCCTTTCGTATCTTGCTGGATCTGTGCTATCATCTTCTCTGCTTTGCAGATGGGTTCGCTCGAGGAAAAGGTAGAGCGCGATCCTTTCGACAACCTTAACGATGACGACGACCACACTCCCTTCGCTTCTTCCACATCCGCCTCCAAAGTCCGCCCCTTCAATTTCGAGACCACCGTTGTCGATTTACGGAGCTCCTCCGCCTTCAACATTAGACGCATCAGCAGGAGTATATATTTCGTCTTAATTAAGGCCAAGATCAACATCTTGCTTCCGTTTGGTCCTTTCGCTATTCTACTGCATTATCTCACCGGACACCAAGGATGGGTCTTCTTCTTCACGTTATTGGGTATTACTCCTTTGGC